ACAGACACATAGTCGATACGCTTGCGTCTGGACGTCTCACCAGTGCTGAGCTGTTCACAGACTGCAGGAAATGAATGACGGGCTTTAAACGACTTACTCTACAAATACAGACAGAGAGAAAGAGATAACTCACAATTGTCAGGACAGTCTACGAGGATTCATCATGTCTCAAATCACTGCAGTCTCTGAATCACAACTGATGTACAGTACAGAGTGACGGTGTAATTTTTCCTGGATAATTTTGATACTCTGGAAAAAATAAGAGAGCCTATGAGTTCTCTGGATTTGTCATTAAAGGTACATTATTTGAGTACAATGTTAATTTGTGTTTTATTCTATGAACTACTGATAATGTGTCTTTAGAATTTCAGATTAGAATATAATCAATTACAGTATTTATTTGGCAAAATGATAAATGGTGACACTTTTGAAAATTTCTGTAGGTTAATGTATTTACTAAAGTAAACAAGCAAGGAGCATTATATTTAATACAGTATTTATTCAACTTTGTTAACATTCTTTGTTAGTTCTTATTAACTCACAGTGCATTAACTAATGTTAACCATCATTTGATGTAAACTATTTCTTGATGAATATTTTTTGTATGCTGTATTATTCAGTATTGTTCATTTTTTGTTCATGTTAAATTAACTAACATCTACTAATCTAACCTTATACCAGAGCACTTGGAATCAAAGTTGTAGGTCCTATTCTCTCTCCTTGCATACTGCAACAAATCCTAGGTTTTTTTCTTCTTCTTGTGATCCCAACACAAATCAATCAAGTTAACTTTATTGTTTTTCCAAAGTGATAAATAAAGTAATAAATACACATACATATTAAGTATAGTACAAAAATAACGCAACAGTTTGTATCAATAAATTCAAGTTACGACAACATGTAATAAAATTAATTTCAGACAACACACTTATTAAAATGACCAAAAGCAAAATTACCTTTTACTCAATAATCAAAGGCATTTTTACATAGCATAAACTCCATTGTTTAAGTCAAGTACTGAAATTTTTTTATTTTTTTTTATTAAAATTTCAAACAAATTCAGTGTTAAGTACTTATTTACATGCAAGTTTTTAAGTTTAGAACCTTAAATTAAATAGCTGAAATTGTTTAATCTTTTGTTTGTTTTAAAATTGACTGTTTACTGTACATTTAGTTGCTTGTAAGAAATACATTTAACATTTTTGTTTTCTAGTAATTTTTTATTTGTTTTACACCACAGATTTTCATTGTTTTACAAACCAAAAGCATGTACTGTCCCTAAAACCCTATGAAAAATAAAAAACATCAATGTGTGGACTTGAAAATACAAAACAACTTTATTAAGGTGGAAAAATTGAGTTATCAACCCAATTTCTTTGGGTCGCTACAAGTTACATATTGTTTTAAACAAATTGACAGATATTTACCTTTTATTTAGCCACATTAGTTGATGTAATTTTCCTGTTTTGGAAAAACATAATAATAAAACCTAATAAAATTATACTGGCTACTTAAAAATTTTCATCTTATCAGTAGTTTAGTATTTTTTAAGTTACAACAATGCATTAATCTATGTAGTGATAACAGACCTCTTGAGTTATTTTTTTTTAGAGTAAATTCTGATAACATGGGATGTTTTATATTGACCTATTGTTCTGAACTATAGTACTCTTATTATATTTTGATGTCACATTAGAGTATAAAATATATAAAACAAAAAGTTACAATTTGCTTTGATAAACATACCTGTTAATGGCGAATCCCGAGAACTGAGCCTATAATATGCTAGATTCATATTAGTGTCAAAGCTAGTTTATTTGCATGTTTTTTGTCTCACTTGAAATTTTCACTTGATTAAATTACTTGAACTTGCTCGGAGAATGCAATTGAGGTGAATTTGACATGTTTGTAACAAACGTAATCCACATCATTCGTGTCACCATGTGAAAATTTGCCTCTTTTCGCTCATTTGCGCATTGACTTTGTATGTAATCTCCTAGCGTGAATACTTAAATTTGCATTTGGTGTGAACCCAGCATATGTGCTCCTTGCATTGAACTAAAAAGCAGACTTTTAAATTTTTCATAAACCATTTGCATAAGTACAGTTGTTTTATACATTTTATACATATGTTTTATGTGAAAAGTGCATTTGCCTGCCTTCATCTCAGCAGCTGCTGCTCATTTTTAAATCTGAACATGCTCTATATTAAAATGGCATCACTAATGCGGCTATTCATCCATGTAGTCCTTAATCCTCATCAATGGTAATTAAAACAAGAACAATGGTGTTGAATTATTCATTGCTGTTGGAGTGATTAAGAGGTATTAGTTTCTGCTAAATGGGGTCTTGTCGGGGTGCTCCTAAATGGACTGCTTTGACTTCGGTTTCAGATTTCCGCCAGCATTTCTAAATTTCATATCATCCTTTCACTGCCAGTAAAAGAGGGTCCCCGTCAGGACAGAGGCACTATTGGAGTCCTCTGGTCTTTCATTGTTCATTAGTTCATTGTGTCAGGCTGGAGGAATAATAAAGACGTGACTCGACTTCCCCCATTAAACTGTTTCTTTTGGTTAGGATGAGTGCGATTCCCTGGAGGTGTGGGATATATATGAACTCTGTCACAATAGCAAGCAGGTCAAATGAGGAAAATGTTGGCTCAAGTTGCAAAAAAAATTTGTGCTTTCAAACAAAGGCAATTAAATAGATTTTTTGGTCCCACTTTATATTAAGTGGCCTTAACTAATATGTACTTACACAGGAATTGATTGTTTGTTACAATGTACTTATTGTGTAAATACATGTATTTACTGTGTACTTATGCTTGATTAAATACATGTATGCAATTACATGTGTAGTTAACTTTTGTAATTACATTTGTTAATACACTGTTGACCATCCCTTACACCTTAACCTACCCTTAAACCTACCCATACCACCAAACCTGTCCATAACCCAACCTCTATCCCCACTCAAAAGCACCACAAGTGTTCTTAAATACATTATAAACACAGTAAGTACATTGTATTTATTTTTTATGTAAGTACATAGTAGTTAAGAACACTTAATATAAAGTGGGACCGATTTATTTATTTATTTATTTTTTCCCATAAAATAAAGCATTATGATTGACTTTTAGCCCTCATTTGATGCTGTAGATCTATGTATTTATCACATACGCAACAATGACTTGATACTGGTTATTCTAATTCACATCACCTCTACTTTACAGTACTAAATCACCAGATTGCTAGTTAAAGTTAGTTTAACAGTTTTTTACATACATGTAACATACACTCACCAGCCACTTTATTAGGTACACCTGTCCAACCACTCGTTACGCAAATTTCTAACCAGCCAATCACATGGCAGCAACTCGATGCATTTAGGGATGTAGACATGATTAAGACGATCTTTAAAGAGAATAGTCAGAAAAGGAGAAAATATCCAGTGAGCGGCAGTTCTGTGGGCACAAATGCCTTGTTGATGCCAGAGGTCAGAGGAGAATGGCTGGTTTGAGCTGATAGAATGGCAAGAGTATCTCAAATAACCACTTGTTACAACTGAAGTATGCAGAAGAGCATCTCTAAATGCACAACACATTAAACCTTGAAGCAGATGGGCTACAGCAGCAGAAGACCACACCGGGTACCACTCCTGTCAGCAGAGAACAGGAAACTGAGGTTATAATTTACACAGGCTCACCAAAATTGGACAATAGAACATTGGAAAAACGTTGCCTGGCCTGATGAGTCTTGATTTCTGCTGCGATATTCAGATGGTAGGGTCAGAATTTGTTCTAGTGACATAATATAAATAATAAAGCGTAAACGATAACATCCAATCCATCTTCATTGTCAGAGGAGAAAAATTACAATACAATCTCTGCATTTTACTACACACATTTTGCATAATTTAGCTGTGGCGTCATGCATTAATGATGAACAGGAGGCTTAATTGAGGCTGTGATTTAGAGAGATGGCAGATAACGTTTCCAAGATTAAATTGGAAATGGGTGATGAATTCCTAAAGGCTTCGGTTGTCTTCGCTTAGCAGACTTTCACTGTTGCTTTCAATTACACATCAAAATCTTTATTGCAAAAAAGCAGAAAGCTCAGGCAGTGATGAGTCTTTCTGGCTAAGGTTTCAGTCCTCTGTTTAAATTACATTTAGAGATAAAAGATAAACGAGACTGCTGAACTGACGGATGCATTGACTATTTCAGGCATTTAAGATGGAAAGCTTGACCTGTTTTGGGATGTTTGCCACTTTCAGGGAATAAAAATAAAAGTAGCATTAATATTATATTGAAATTGATTTAATTGTAAATCAAATGAGCTGTTGATGTTATTTAAAAGCTAATAAAATCCTATCCGCTTATTAAGTTGTGACATGCAATACTGTTTCTAGATACAAAACTAGACTCATTTGAATTCTCGATAGTTATTTATGAACACTTTATATTCATATCACACATTAAAAGCAAATCTTTTCTAAAATCGTGGTCATTAACTTCAGTTTCTGAACTTGCTGCTTTCCAGACACCATTATTTTAACCAAAATATAAATTACATCTCTGACTATCTGAGATTTAGCATAGATATAAACATTGCAATCATGGTTTTTCAATAGTATTTTCTCACAAAGTGAGCAGTATGTAAATACTATTTGTTGTTAATTTTGGCTCATTTTGAACCCTGAAAAATGGACCAAAAATAAAAAAAAAGTGTAATTATTTATAAATCGTCCACTGTTGTTGAACACAAAAGAAGATATTTTGAAGAATGTTGGAAATCACCAGCTATTGACATCCACAATAGGAACCAAAATACTATGAAACTCACTCTGAAAATCTTCGTTTGTGTTCAACAGAAGAAATAAACTTCTGAGAATGAGTAAACAGAATTTTTCTTTTTGGGTGTACTATTGCTTTAACGAGCCGATATTACACTTCTTAGTCAAGTATGACACCCTGACCTCTCTGTATTCTTCATTTGCAGACATCCCGTTTAGTGGGACTCCACCTCCAGCTTATGTTTACGATGGCGATCGCGGGGATGACCAGCGTTTGCAGTCTGACATTGTGTCCTACTCTGACGACCCTCTGTTCTCTCCTCGTCTTCACCCGAAGGGCCGAAGCATTAGAGAGACTCCTTCATCGGGGTCCCCAGAGTCTACTAAATCAGTAAGATACTAGCTTTGATCGGTTGTTTGACACCAAAAGTTCGTTTTAACATACACATTATTTGGTGGATGGCAAAACAGGCAAAATAAAATGAACACAGGCATTAATTATGTTTTGCCTGTATATGTACAGTATATGTTTAATTGTTTTGTTCTTTTGAGTGCTTTAAGCTATTAAATTGCATTTTATGAATCACCAAGATTCATCAGCTATCAATATTCATCTAATTAAGCATCTAATTGAATCTAATGTTCTACTGAAGATAATGATGGAAATGAAATGAGGGTGAGTGAAAGAGCTCATTTTCATTTATGGGTTTTTTCTACTTCAGCTTTTAAGAGCCCTTTAATATTTATGCTTCCATGTAAACTTGCGTACGATCTGAACTTTTGACCCCTGTATCTCTTATCTTTATTCTTTGGGTTGTCTCATATCAGCATATAGGATTATGTTGTCCATAGCTGACATCTGTAAATCTGTACATGAGCGGATTTGAGGTTTTACAAGGATTTACCCTGCTGAGGAAATTTCTATAGTCTGGTACGGCATGTGTGTTTTTGGCTGAACCCTAAATGCGTTTGTGCTTTTCTTCAATCTCTCACTCTGGACATTCCCAGTCGGAACTAGATGCGGAAAAAGGCCTGGAGATGAGGAAATGGGTGTTATCTGGGATCCTGGCCAGTGAAGAGGCCTATCTCAGCCACTTGGAGGCGCTCTTAGTGGTGAGTAATGCAGTTTTCCTGCGTCTGTTTTACTGCCAGGTTTCTCACTAATAAGGGTCAGAGGTCAATGTTCTAATACTGCTGAGGTTTGCAGATCACGCTCCAGATGGAGCCTCTTTGACCCCTTGTTTTTCTTCACAGCCCATGAAGCCCCTGAAAGCTGCTGCCACCACCTCTCAGCCCATGCTAACCCTCCAGCAGATAGAAACCATTTTCTTCAATGTGCCTGAGCTCCATGAGATACACAAAGACTTTTATGATGGTCTGTTACCCAGAGTGCAACAGTGGAGCAACCGCCAATGTGTGGGCGACCTCTTTCAGAAACTGGTAAGCTGTGATTTTCTATTTGGTCTGTTATAGGGCTGCAACTAACGATTCTTTTAATAACTGATTAATCTGTCGATTTGTTTTTTTATGATTAATTGATGAATCGGATAAAAAAAGTGCAAACATGTCCTTAAACATCCCTGAGCTGTTATAATAATAATAATTAAATAAAAGCTAACTTAGAAGTTTTGTCCTGTTTTCAATCCAAATATCTCAAAAATATTAAATCAAGATACAAACAAGACAGATGAAACAGCAGAAGAATTTGTCTTGTTTTCTGAAAAAAAACCCACCTCAGAATTAAGTGATTGTTTGCTTTAAACAAGCAAAAATAGTTGCCAATGGAGTAAGAAAAATAATCTTAATGAGATATAATCTTAAAGAGAGGTGTTAAGCATCAAGAGAAACGCTTTGTGATGCTACAGGTAGAACAAGACTCAGCACTGTGTGTGTGCAGGTGTGGTGTATTTATAGTCCATGTAATCAGTTTATCATGATCCTCTGGCTGTGTGTGTGTAATCAATGTAAAACAGGAACAGGTGTGTGTGAGGTGCATGACAGGATTTATAGTTTGTGTAATGGCAGAATTGTAGTCCAAGTAAAAGTTAAGATTCTTCAGCGATCTGCCGTAGTTTTAGGGTAATAAAGCAACCCAACACTGGGAAATGCCCATACACACTCTTTCATACACTATGGCTAATTTAGCTAATTTAATTCACCCGTACCGCATGTCTTTGGACTGTGGGGGAAACCGAAGCACCCAGAGTAAACCCATGCGAACACGGGGAGAACATGCAAACTCCACACCGAAATGTTAATTGACACAGCCTGGGCTCGAACTAGCGACCTTCTTGCTGTGAGGCAACCGTGCTATCCCCTGCACCACTGTGATACCCCGGGGCTAATAATACTTTTTTTTTTTGACTAAAACTTTCATTTTAGCCAACACTTGTCTAAATAAATACAAATAAAATCCTTAATTTAAATTAAAATGCAATTTTCTGAATTACTGTCTTACAAAGTATGGTATGAAAATTCTATAAAAAATTATTGTTATTACAATAAATTATTAGTGTTGTTGAAAGATATTCTGATATCAGAGTTGTTGACAACAGTGTTGTTGAAAGATATTCTGTAAGGATGGGACATATACAATTACATAATGAAAATATACATTTAGACATTTAGATATACATATAAATATATACAATTACATAATGAAGAAATCTGTAACAAATAACCAATAACCAGTGTTACATGTATAAATAAATGTGTGCATTTTTATGTGTTTACATTCAATTTTGTTGACTATTTCAAGTGGTGAAAGGCTTGAGCTCCACCTTTTTTGCACTTCTTCTACGAGTGATGTCACTGGGGGTAGGGTTAGGGGTGGGGTTGGTGTACGCATTAAAACAGCTTAAAGGAGGAGGAGCGACAGATCATGCTCCCCCTCGCTGGAGCTCAGCTCTCCTCAAATGGCTCTGCAGCGAGCACCCTCTCAACTATTTGTTGACTTTACAGCAAAATATGTGAATAATGAATTAAACTGAAACATTACTTAAAATCTAATAAATATTTATTTTGATTTATAGACACTATTATTTGTCCTCCTGTGAAATGTTTATGATTTTTTGCAAGTGATGTTTAACAGAGCAAGGACAATTTTCACAGCTTCGAGAGACTTGTTTCTTTTAACCTTAAGTCTTTAAACTTTAACTTGAAAATAGTTATTAACTATTTTGTTAAAAAATATTGAAAAAATCTTCTCTCCATTAAACAGCAATTGGAAAATAATTATACCAATAATTCTGCTCTCAACTGAATATAATATCATAATAAATGGATTGCTCATACTGCCTACCATATGCTCTGTTATTAAAATGGCTGCTTCTGTTAACTAATAATATGCTTGTGTTACTGTTAATCATCATAACATCTGAATTATCCCCTCTCTCGCTGCCACATGCACGTGTTTAATTCGAGTAATCCATACATGATGTTTCTGTCAGACCACCGAGAGAGATTTTTGGGAGACGGTTTATAACGGCAGTCATCATCAAAGCATGTCTCAATGCTGCTCCCTAAGGAAACGTTCCTTTGATAAGTGCTTTAGTGAGCTTCACGAGCTGCAGCCACATCATTCCATTCAACACAATTAGCTGTGGAAACTGAAACTTTACCCCCATCTTTATAGATGCCCGCAGGACTTGATGCTCACGCAGATAAAAGCTTTTCAGAGCTCCATGACTGCATGTAAAGCAGACAGGGGGTCCTGCTCTGAGATCAGTGGGGCTGCGCTTAAAAATGCTGGGCTTGAAAGGTGTTCGGATGTTGTAACAAGGGGTGTAGATCAGGTTTCTTTGCAGTATTGGTTTTTATTTGAATTGCATGTTTTTCCTTAGAACGAAGAGCATTAAAGACAAAAATCCCTTTTATAAGAGGTATGCGCACAGTTGTGTGGCAACCGTGTATGAATATAGCCAGCCTCTAATGGTAAAAATGTATTAATTTTATTTTTTAGAATCACACTTTGTAAAAACAAAAAGAAAAAAAACAGAAAGGCCCAATTCTACCCGTTACCCATTCTTCTCACCCCTCGTTTTGCCCATTCATGTGAAGGGGTAGGGGTGTCCCAATTCTCTTTAGCTTAAAGGCGTAGGGTTAAGGGGAAGGGCTAGATAGCCCTTGAAACTGATATTTTTCTGATATTTTTTCGAAACCAAGGGATACGAAAATTCGCCAGAATACATCGTCTAGAACGGCAGCATGGCTGCACACAGAAGGATTTTTTTTTTCATCACTGCGAATTTTTACAACAAAAAGGCATATGTTTTAATACATTTATATAGACATTCATGATTTACTGTCATGCCTTTTTAAAAACCCAAAATAAAAAAACGCTAAATTTTGCTATCTATAATCCATAACAATAACTCTCATACAGTAGAGCTGCACGATTAATCGAAAAAAGGTTGTGATCTTAATCCAGCATTTCCACAATTATGACAATCATATTTTCAAGTTCAGGAGAGAAGCAAAGGCGGCCGCACAAATCTTCGTTATTTTACATACATTGCTCATGTGTACACCTCCAAATGGTGTTGAAAGAGTCACATACTGTATGTATAAGGTATAATTCACCCAAAAATGTCATTTCTGTCTTCATGTAATGATGTATTCACGGCCGCGAAATCACACATGATGTGAGCTGACTGTGAGCTGTTACCACAAAGAGGGCATGCACGCGCCTGTGAATGATGGATGAACAGAACTTGCATAGGCTGTGTAAATAAAAGGTAATAAAGTTGTGAATAACGTTCAGTTTGTGGTACAAAGTGATCATTTAGGAGCTGCGTGGGAAGTATGAACCACATTTAGCAATGAAAATGAAACTGAAAACACGAACATCATTTAAATAATCTTATCGCATCGCGTTTTAGAGTTATGATTACGACAAGCATTTAATGTTTTTCTTTCATAGCAAACACAACAGTTTTATGCATAAGAATAAATGTTTAACAGTATGAGTATACTGGAACTACTCTAGTGTCACGATCCGGTAATGGGAAAAAGGAGCGAGGACCCAAGCGCAGAGTGAAGTAGGATTTATTAATAATAAAATAAAATAAAAGGCAAAAATAAACAACCCCGGGGGGGGGGAAACACTACTAAAACAAACAATTAAACAAACAAACAAACAAACCTTGACTGGGCAGGCACGACAAGGCAGTGCTGGACACAGCAGGACAGGTAAACATCGACAAAATATGATGACAAACTCGCACAGGACAGCAGACATAAGGGGTTTATAAACTGTAGGAAATTAACACAAAAACAGATGAACATAATTAACTAAAAATGGGTAAACAAGGAGGGTGGGACAAGACAATAGACGGGAGAGCGCATGACACAGAGAGACAACACAAGCCATGCGCTCACATAACAGGACAAGAACATGCAGCCAATGAGAAAACTCATTAACCGCATGTTCATGACAACAAACACAACACTGAAGCACACGACAAAAGCACGTGACCACAATGTAAACACAGAGCCACGTGCTTTGACAACAGATGCAAGACACGAGCACACGATGAATGAAAACACTCACCGTGCGCTCACACACGCAGCGTGCATGCTTCATCCCAGCGCCGACCAAAACCGAAACCAACAAGACTGAGACGCTGGGAATGAAACACCACGCTGCAGACAGACGAAAACACAAACACGAGTACAAGAGCGCACGCGTCTGAGGGACGCAGAACGCGCGCGCGGCCGCATCAAGCAGGAGCGCGCACACTCTGCGTACACCCACGACGACGCGCGCGCACACAGAGACAGAAACCGGACCAGACATGGGTAGTGTCCGAGCTCTGCCACCAAAACAAGAATTTACAAGACCAGAGTGGCAGAACCCTGACATCTAGCCTATATAATGTTGAATATAATGCAAGAGGGAATCTGATATTGACAAATGTCTCATTTTACCAGTAGAAAAAAATGGTCTAGTAATGTTGTCATTGACAGATTGCATATCTCAAACATAATTCAACATCAGAATTATGAATAGTTGTATTCTGATGTCATCTCTGTGCAATAATGACCAAGACAAATTTAAAGTCTGTTCAAGTCCACCATTTCAAGTCTATACAAAAGTTAACATTTTAACCAACAGTAGAGCTACACATATTATTATTGTTGCTTTACCATATGTTTGAGAAATAACAATAATAATAGCCTGTTCATATTAACCTTTATTTTACATCTATAGAATTGTGAGAAAATTGTGATCTTGATTTTTAACCAAAAACCATGATTCTCATTTTAGCCAGAATCGTGCAGCTTTATCGTACAGTCCCACAACATACTTTCACATCTGTCACTCAGTGACACTTAGATACCCTGTCAGAATTTTCTAGTGGCTGGGAATTAGTTTTTCACAGTGTCTGGTATAATGTTAATGTTGTTTTCATGTGTTTAGATGAATATGGCCACGATAA